TGTAGAACACAGATTGTGAAACAGGAAAAAAGTGTTCAAATGGAAGTGGAACTGGGGAGGGGGCGGGGAAAGGAAAAGGAAAAATGGAAACAAAGCTTTCATGAATATGAAGGAGAAGGGTTGGAGAGAGGGGAGTGACAGAAGGTAGCTAGCAAGATGCGTTAGTGCAGGTGTGAATTCCCCACAGATGGGACCGCTGTGAGCATCTCAAACGTACCAATGCAATTAATTAAAAAATCAAGTCAATAAATGCTAATGAATAAATGTCTGGTGACAGCTAAGAGAAAATGCAGTAATCTTACTTTCCCCCCAAAAGAACACACAATCACACAGCAACCTGCATGAGAAACCCAAATCTTTACGGTGACTATTAAGAATTAATATGTAGTATCTTATTCGAAGAAGACAAATAATACATTTTAACACAATTTAGATCTTGAAATGTAATTTAAAATTCCACATAAAATTACCAAGCTAATGGAATATATACTACATGACTAGTGAGCTGGGAAAAAAATGCTACATATATTCAATGCCTTATTCTCCAGTGAAAAGGGATATTAAATGAGAGGTACCAGGTATACTTAAATTTTCAAACAATTACACTATCATTTATGAGTCTTAATAGCACTGGTGAACCACTAAAATGATCTAATTTAATCTCAATGGAATACTATAAGGCAAGTATAATTATCCCCATTTTATAGCTGACAAAATTAGGGTTAAGAGAGGGCAAGCAACTTGTCCAGAGCTACTGAGAGCCTTCAAGTAGACTAAACCGGTCATGTTTTGGCTTGTTCTAGATTTGCAAGTCAGGGCCATACAGTGAGAGTGATGAGCTTATTAGTAAGTTACACATCTTCTGAACAGTCACGCATTCTAGCCCACAACACAGGCAATGTGAAGCTCCGACCCAACTGACAAGCCAGCCCTCGATAAATCTAGTCTCATGTCTTACCCACAACGACACGCTCGCTCGCTGATAATTAAGACAGTGCACGTAACCTCTCCAAGTTCCCATGGTCTTTTCTACTAACTAGAAGACAATTTATCTTTTTGCTTTTTTTTTCCCCTATATTTTAGGGAAGGGTCTACAGAGCGTTCAGGGTCTCACTATTAGATCAGACTCATAGTGATCTAGCTGTTTACAGCCTCCCAAGAGCTGGGATTAAGGTGTGCCACCACGCCCAGTCTCTATCTTCTTGCTTTTGATAAACATTGCAGTGGGTTAAGAAACCTAGAAAACAATGTTTGCTTTAAGTGCTGTTTTCTTATACCTCCACAACCTGTACAGCTCGAATGCTGCAAATGGAGATCTGATGACATGTCAGCAGCATTACAAATAATTCAAAACCTGTACAGCATATTTAGGATCAACCTCTCAACGTGCAAATACATTAAAACCAAATATGCATCTGTAGACAGGGGCACGCGTGCATGCGCAAGGACAGTGCCAAGCCGCACTCCCAGAAGGAAGCAGAACACCCGGGAATAACATCCCCCACCCCACACATCCCCTGTACCAAGGCAAAACGAGGCATTTCTGGTACTTGGGAGTCAGAACTTCTACGTCTCACACAAACACCACAGGTAGCTAGGGCTGGCCCTGTCATGGCAGAGGCGAGGCAGACATCTGTGGACTGGCTGGAAATCTACCTGCCTGGTGTAGGGTTCTCTCAGCAATTGTCTTCCCATTCCCCTGAAGCCAGCACACACAGCCCTTCACCACACAACCCATGTTACCACGGGGACTGACACCTCCAGGTCAATTTCAGAATTAACAATATCTGGTTTGACTCAATTGAAATACGTACACTACTCAAGTATTTTCAACTGTTGACGCTAGGATAAGACAAAGTCCACTCCGGTCACTTCCAAGTCAAGAGACCGAGTGGCTCATGGTGACATGGCAGTTTGGCAGACCTTGCACTGCACATGCACGGAGCCCTAAATCCAGGGTTCCTTCTGGGGTGAAGGTACAAGTACTGTCCTAGTTTGTAAGGCTGAGCGTTTCTAAAGCGCAGGCTCTCTTCCAGCACACCTACAACCCAGCTTTAAAGGATTTGCTATTTCAACCAAGTCCATGGCCTTTCAAGCACATCACACCCTGAAACTACCACTTGTTATCAAGCCCACACAGCCCACTGCAGTCCCCACACCCAAGCCACTCCTCTGAGCCTAGAACAGGCCTCCTTTAGCGATCTCCAGGGCTACCCACTCCCCACGCCCTTCTCTCTTTTATCTCTCAGCCTGCCGCTCAGTTATTTCCCAAGTCAAGCAAGTGGACTCCTGCCAGGCCGGCTAGGCTGACACTCTGTCCATGCTGTGAGCACCTATGGAGTGCAGGTGTTCACACCAGCCTCTGGCTCCTGTCCACGAGGGCCAGTTCAAGGAAGCCCTCGAGCACATTGTGGCTTTCAAGCTCTTAACTGTGAGCCTCACTAAGACAGTTTTCCTTCAACACTCCCTGGTTGACCAAGGGAGATAAACACTCCAGTGTCAAGTGCCAAGGTAGGGAATAGGGCACACGTTCACCCATGGAAGCATGGCTAGAGAACATGGTACACGCAACCCGTGAAATACTTGGCCTTAAAAGACATCCTGCAATGTGAGACTGGGCTGACTTCAATAACCTATGACAGAAGGACGAGAAGTTTCTAAAATATTTAAATTCTGAGAACCACAGTGTAAGACAGTGGTAGCCAGGGCTAGGGTGTAGGGAAATGAAGAGTTGCTCATCAGTGAGAATGAAGTCTTGATTACGCAAGAACAAATTCCAGAGACATGCGCAACCCTGTTTGTGTGGTTCAGGGTACTGTATTTCGCATTTCCAAAAGCAGATCTCACGGTTTGTACTCTTACCTACGAGAAAAGGCTCCTGTTGGAAACTTCCATATTTTTCAATCTGTTAATGGATCATGAATTGCAGTTCAAAAAATCACATTTTACCTATCAAGCCTGGAGTAGACAGAGGCTTCAGGTGGGTGAGGGAAGGATACGGCTGGCGGTGCTGCACCTCACTCAAGTGCACTCAGGAGGGAGGAGCAGGGGCATGTCCCCAACATCAGGTGGTCATCCACCCTCACCTCTTCCCTTCACTCAGGAGGCCTGATTCCAGCTGTCAGCATCTGACAGCTGGAATAGCATTTCCGAAAAGCTCACATTCTGTTCAGAGCTATAATTGAAGCAGAATTCAATGAAGTAAATGAGCAGATTTTTTTCACTTAAGGTAATTTTTCATCTTCAACTTTCTGTAAACAGTTAACTCTGCCCTCTGAAGGATATTGATATGATAGATGGTGGGGGACAAAGAAGGTATGAGAAAGAAAAGAATCTAAGGATCTGGAAAAGGCAGGTCAGGAAATAGTAAAATGGTAATAAAAGAGGCATCTCAAATTTTAAACAATTATTTGTAGCTTTGTATTTTACTTATAATACAATATTTGTAACATAAAATCTAAAGATGCAGTCTCAGACATTTGTGATGTGTGTTTATATAAAAACAGTGCCCTTGCCCTGAGTTGATTCTCAACAGATCTGCCAAGTTCATCCTTTCAGGAAGCACCGTTACCTGGTTGAAGTGCTGGGCCCAATTCTCCCTCATAAAGGCAAAACACAAGTACTACACATCATCACTTTTTTTGTTTGTTTGAGACAGGGTCTCACTATGCAGTTCAAGCTGGCCTTGAGCTCACTTTGTAGCCCAGGCTGGTCTTCAACTTGCAAAGATCTTCCTGCCTCAGCCTCCGGAGCGCTGGGATTATAGGCCCTTTACAGTGTTTATTCAGCAACTGCAAGTCAGTTTAACCAGGGAGCTCTAGCTGCATAGAGAGATCATGCCTGTCACCTAGCACTCTGGAGGGCTAAGGCAGGGAGGAGCCAAGCCCGGAAGCTTCAAGAGACTCTGCCTCAACAAAACACATTTTTTTTTTTTTTTTTTTTTTTTAAGGGTTGGAAATGTACCTCAGTGCAAAGAGCCTGGGCTAACTTTCAAGTAAGGGGTAGGGGATCAGTTCTAAATGTTCCTCCTGCCAACAAGAGAAACACTTCCCAAGAGAAAGTTCCCGGCTCTGCCCTGTACTACACCTGTACTGAGTCTCCTGAGATGTATCTCTACTGGAAAAGCGACTGTTTTTTTCTTTCCCTTGGCAGTCCTGTCAAAACAGACAAAATTTTAACTTTTAATTGTTCAGGAATGACCAGCTATCATACCACGGAATATTAAATTATACCACACGGACCTGAAGCCAACTGTACCAGGCACAGGGCTCTAGGGAAACAGGTGAACACAAACATAGTGTCCCTAGTCAGCTCTGGCGGATGCTGTCCTGCGGGTGACGTAACACAAACGGGTAGGTACTGCCTGGTGTACCCAAGCGGCAACTGCAGACTAAAAATGAAAACTGTCACCAAGCATGCTGTGTATCTCTTTTTTGTCCAATGTGCAGTGGGCCATTTGGGAGAAGCGTCAATTCCTTCAACCCTGCAAAGCAAAACTGTCGACCGAAATTCGCAACGGGAAAACTTTTCGCAAGGGGGATATTCTGCGTTAGGAGAACAGCGCTTGCCAAGCAAGCTCACCAGACCACAATCCGATCATTTTTAGGCCTGGCAAACCACCTAAGGCAACTGCAAAAACACGAAAATCGGAGGCAGAGTTCAAGAAGTTACTCAGTTCTATGCATGGAATAGTCATCTGTTTTTTAAAAGTAGTAAGGGAGGGCGCAGAAAACTGTGGCAGCAAAGACGTGTAATCTTGCTCTCGCGGCTTGCACAGCCACCCGGGCTCCGGAGTCGCGGGGCGGAGGCGGGGACCTCACCGCGCTCTCCCGCCCCAGCCGTGAACTTACAAAGTTTAAGGAAGGGGACTCGAGAGGAAGGGGGCGCGGCCCGAGCCGGAGCCGGCGCCGGCCGAGGGAGCGGCCACGCCCGCGGAGCCGACCCGCAGCAGCGAGCTCCGGCCCGCCCGCCCGCCCCGGCGGCCGCGGGGCCGAGCCCACCTCGTCGCCCCACTTGAGCACGTCCTTCTGCCGGTCCTTCACGGCGTGGTAGATGTGCAGGAACTGCAGGATGCCGTGCCGCCGCACGTGGTCGGCGTGGCGCCGCGTCTCCTCCCAGCTCAGCGGCGAGCCCTGGGCCAGCAGCCCCATGGCCCCGCCGGCCCGGCGCGAGCCGCGCTCGGTCGCTCCGGC